TTGGAGGCTGAAACCAACAGCAAAGGAAGACCTTCCTCTCTGTCTCTCTCTCTCACTGTCCACTCTGCCTGTCAAAAAAATAAAATAAAAAATAAAAATAAAAATAGAACCTACGGGGGCTCAAAAATTATTTTTCTTCCCTAAGTGACCAGATGGATCCTTTAAACCTGTGTATCAGGGCAGAGCTGTGGTGTAGCGGGTAAAGCTGCCACTTGCAGTGCCGGTATCCCATATGGGTGCCGGTTCGAGATCCGGCTGCTCCACTTCTGATCCAACTCTCTGCTATGGCCTGGGAAAGCAGTGGAAGATGGCCCAAGTTCTTCGGCCCTTGCACCCACGTGGGAGACCTGGAAGAAACTCCCAGTTCCTGGCTCCTGGCTTTGGATTGGCGTAGTTCCGGCTGTTTCGGCCAATTGGGGAATGAACTAGCAGATGGAAGACCTCTCTCTCTCTCTGCCTCTCCTCTCTCTGTGTAACTCTGACTTTCAAGTAAATAAATAAATCATTAAAAACAAACTGTATCAGGTCACCTCACTCCTCTATTTAAAACCTTCCTGTGGTTCCCACTGCACAGAGAATAAAACCTCAACTTCTCTGCCGTACAGAGCCTCACTCTTCCTTGTGTCTCGTGTTTCAACCATGACTCTCCCAGTTCCCAATGTGCTCCAGCCATATTCCTCAAACCCCAGGTTTACTCTCACTTGAGAACTATTTCTGTGCCCTCTGCACGGAAAGCTCTTCTTGTATTTTTCCACGTTTGGTTTCGTCTTATTTTAGTGTCTCTATGACTAATTTCAGGGGTCACTGGGACACATTCCCTATTTTAGTTCTTTGCAAGACACTGACCAGTATTTGACAGTTCTCTTGGCTTATTTATTTCTTAATTTGTTTACTTTCTCTCCTCATTAGAATGTACACTGAACCACAGTAGGGAGTCTTACCTGTTTTGTTCACACCTATACTTCTAATATCCAAAATAGCACCTGACAAATAATATACACTAATTGGATACTTGTCAAATGAGTGAACAGCATGTGTATTGTATAATCAATTTTTATTAAAAAGAGATACTATATAGACCCATTTATTTTTGTTGAGAGCAAAAAATAAGGTATGCACAGACACTAAATTGCAAGCATTGTCATTTTTGGAGAGTTAAGGAATAGAAAATTAACTTTTCTTCTGTTATCTTTGCATTGTTTATTTAGTAACAGTAAGTATAAATATCTTTTTGGCATAAAAATAATTCAATTAATAAAACATGGAAGGAAAATGAATATTTTCTCAGTTGGGGAAACAAAATGATTATATAGCTATTCTATCCATCTATTTATCGATTTATCACTCCAGAAGCAGACTGATGGAACAATCTTATTCTACCAGTAATTTCTCCATCAACAGAGGAAAGTAATTCTCTAAAAATATCTATGGTCACTGGTATGAAAGTTTTTTTTTTGTTTGTTTGTTTTTTTTGTTTTGTTTTGTTTTTTTTTTTTGCTTTTTGACAGGCAGAGTGGACAGTGAGAGAGAGAGACAGAGAGAAAGGTCTTCCTTTTTTCCATTGGTTCACCCTCCAATGGCCGCCCCTGCTGGCGCGCTGCGACCGGCGCACTGCGCTGATCCAAAGCCAGGAGCCAGGTGCCTCCTCCTGGTCTCCCATGTGGGTGCAGGGCCCAAGGACCTGGACAATCCTCCACTGCCCTCCCGGGCCATAGCAGAGAGCTGGACTGGAAGAGGAGCAACCAGGACAGAATCCAGTGCCCCGACTGGGACTAGAACCCGGTGTGCCAGCGCCGCAGGCAGAGGATTAGCCTATTGAGCCGCAGCATCCGCCAAAAGTATTTTTAAACCATAAAGATAGTGGTACAATTTACTCATATAAAGAAAATCTTCAAGTAAATTCTAAAATGTAATTTAAGACATAATTACATACCTGGATAACAGGTTAAATAATTTTGAGGAAGGTAATAAGTTCTGATGTTTATTTACCATTGTTGCACATTGCTTTATAATTTTATCTGAAATATTTTCCATTTTACTCAAATAAATCTACTAGTTAATAAATCTGTGAGTTTGGAATACCCAATACAGAAAATAAAAAATATCAGGTTTAGGGAAAATAATCATGACAAACCCACTGAAGTCAGCAGGACCTGATCTGGAGCAGCCTTACCTCAGTAGATGATGGGGAACTCGATGGTACTGGGAAGGGAGCAACAGCCATCTGACTGACTGCATCTTCATTTCTGCAAAACGTTAAAACAGGCAGAGTCAGTACATAGTAAATGCCACTTTCCTGGCTGAAATTAGAAATATTTCCTCAATTCTTGGGTGCAAATGTACACACAGCATCAAATAATTAAATATATGTACTTAATTCTATATAATCTACACACATACATATTTATTATATACATATATATGTATATGTAGCTTCAAAACATGCACAGCTATTGGGCACAAAAAGAGACGTATGACTCAGGGGATACTAAAGACACAGTTATTAGTGACAAAGAATGATGATGCCGGGAGCTATAGAACCCTGCCTAGTGAATCAGGCGCTGCAGGGGATGGCTCTGGGAAGGTGTCAGCTGCTTCAGCACGGAGGAGCACACATGTGCAAAATGGGTGTGTGCAACCTCTGCAGCACTGTCTTTGAACTGGAACGGTTCCCAGCCTCCTCACTTGGCTTCTAGCCTGGTTCTGCAGATGAAGGATGAGGGATGTCTGGGACAGGACCTGTACGGTAGACGGTGAGGAGCAGTGATAGACTGGCAGAGAGAGCTCCAGATAGATAATGTTTTGTGGGGTGAGTGAATTCCCCTCCTCCTCACCCTAATGCAGCAGAGTCGGCAGGAGCTGAAATCTTATCCCTAGGGTGACAGGCACACAACAATTCCTGGAACACAGCTCTGACGACTTGGGACTACTTTCTACCACATTAGTAGCTAGGGTTAGTTAGTGGTCCTGTGAGAGTGAATGACTATCTTTCACTATTCATTCATGATGAAATATGGTTACATTTATTATATTATATGTATAATTATATTACTAATACAATTATCTGAGGAGCCAGTGCTGTGGTGCAGTGGTGAAGCCACAGCCTGTGATGCTGGCATCCCATATGGGTCCCAGTTCAAGTCCTCGCTGCTCCCTTCTGACCCAGCTCCCTGCTAATGTGCCTGGGAAAGCAGCAAGGGGATTGGCCCAGGTGCTTTGGTCTCTACACCCACAAGAAACTCCTGGATCCTGATTTCAGCCTGGCCCACACCTGGCTATTGCAGACATTTGGGGAGTGAGCCAGCAGAAGGAAGCGCTCTCTCTTGCGCGTGCACTCTATCGCTTGCTCGCTCGCTCTCTGTAACACTGACATTCAAATAAATAAATCTAGAAAAATCACTTATCTCAAAATTTACATGAAGTATTACTTTATGTTTCACAAAACAAACCAAGAAAGTTCAAAAAATGCTTCTTGTGGATACATAAAGAGTTAGATTTTCATAGCTTTCCCTCTGAAAGAGTGAGCTCCATCACCAGTGGACCCATATCAGTGTACATTGAAAAGCCACTGTCTGGGGAGAACATTCAAAATGCAACACACTGGGGTTGGTGCTGTGGTGTAGTGGGTAAAGCCTCCGGCTGCAGTGCCCACATCCCATTTGGGCGCTGGTTCAAGTCCCAGCTACTTTTCTTCCAATCCAGCTCTCTGCTATGGCCTAAGAAAGCAGTAGAAGATGGCCCAAGTCCTTGGGCCCCTGCACCCATGTGGGAGACCCAGAAGGGACTCCTGGCTTCTGGCTTTGGATCAGCGCAGCTCTGGCTGTTGCAGCCCATTGGGGAGTCAACCAGAGGATGGAAGACTCTGTTTCTCCTTCTCTCTCTTTCTCTTTGTCTAACTCTGACTTTCAAATCAATAAATCTTTAAAAAAAAGTTAAAAAACAAAATTCAACACATTTAACCTTGTATTTCTCAACAAATGCCCCTGTCATTTCTGTTTTGGTATTTTAATCACTGCTTTTACATGAAATGCTTTTCTTTGTTCTTTACACATATACCCCATCCATTCTTCTCCTGCAGTATGAGTTCAATTATCTCAACGAGGTGAACTACTGTCTTAAGTTCAACATATATACTGATGTCACTTAAATGGACATATTGAGCCCAGATCTTATTCTGAGCTTAGGATCTGCATCTCCATGTCCTACTTTATATCCCTACTACATGTCCTAAAACCATCTCAGATAAAACAGAACTTTGGGGCTGGCATTAGTGGTTAGGATGTCACTTTGGGATTCCCACATCCCATACTGGAGTCCTTGGTTTTCAGTCTTGACTCTGATACAGTTTCCTACTAATAAGCACCCTGGGAGGCAGTGGTGATGGTTCCAGTACATAGGTGCCTGTCATTCACCCAGACTGAGTACCTGGTTTCTGCCTTTGGCCTAGCCCAGCCCTGGCTGTTGCAGGCATTTGGAGAGTGAATCATTAGATGGAAAGATCTCTGTTTCTCTTTCAAATTAATTAATTAAAAGTAAATGAATAGAGCAGAGCTTTTTATCTTACTCAGTTCCCAGAGCTATAGCCAATTCTCCTTGCCTGAGCAAATATCAATAACACCTGTCTAGTTGTTCAACCAAGAACTGAGTCACTCCTGAAACTTCTCATCCCTCAACTGAACTTTCAACCCATCAACAAGTCTTGTTGATTATACGTTCAAAACACATCTTGAGATCTTTCTCCTTTCCATTCTATTCTATGTGCAAACCATCAGCACTTCTTATTGAAACTAATGTAAGAATATTCCATTTCCTTTCTCCACTTACATTCTCTCTCCTGTCTATTTTTCCTGCAGCAGAGTTATTATCCTAAGACATTAATTTGATTATATTGCTATCTCCTGCTTAAAGTGCGCCAATGGCTTCTTATTACATCTGGGATCAAGTCCACAGTTGGCAAGGGAGCTATGAGGCTTTGAGCAACCTGGCCCAGCCCCCTTTCCTGGCGCCACCTGGTGCCCTCTTTCCCTGGCTCACGGCAGACTCTCCATTTCTCAGTTAAGCTAAGGTCCACTCCCCACAGGCTTTTTGCTTACCCTATTATTCTCTACTGTTCTGCAGGCTTGTCAACCAAATCCTTTTTTCTGATTTACTCCTAGTCTCCTTCATAGCTCACCATAAATGTCATTTCTTAAAACAAGCTTCTATGACCACCATATATACTTACAGTACCCTATACGATGATTGCCTTTATGGCTGTTTTTCCTCCCTAACTTACGCAAATGATTTACACAAACATTTGTTTTAAACCTGTCTTTCTAGATAGTAAGCACTCCAAGCACAGGACTTATGCTCTTCCTACTTTCCCTTACCCTACCATAGTTTTTTTTTTTTTTTTTTTAAAGGAATGGTTTGGAAAGTAGGGGTCAAAATGGGATACATTGATCACTCTCTTCAAAAAGGAGACAGAATGGTGAGGTTTCAGTTGCTGTCCCTAACTGGCTGTGGGACTTTGGGGAAATCACTTTTTAGAGCCTCAGTTTCCAGATGGTTTAAGTAAGTAGGTTGAACTGTAAGAATTCTAAGGTGGTATAAATTCTCTGTGTAATGAGACAGAGAACAAATAAAAAGATGAAGTATAGGTACTATTTCTTCCTTTTTTAAAAAGATTTTTTTTACTTGAAAGGCAGAGTAGGGTGGGATGGGAGAGGGAAGACAGACAGGCAGATACATACCTGCTAGTTCACTACCCAAATGGTTGCAACTAGTAGGGGTTGGGCCAGGCTGAAACCAGGAGCCAGGAATTCCATCTGGGTCTCCAACATGGGCAGCCAGAACTGAAGTACCCGAGCATCAGCTGCTGCCTCACAGGTACACATCAGCAGGGAACTGGATCAGAAGCATGGAGTAGGAGGTACTTGAACCAGCACTCACACAGGGGATGGGAGTCCTAAGTGGTGGCTTAATCTACTGTGACATAATGCCCACCCCTAGGTACTATTTCTTGTTCTCCTCTAAAAAGAGCATTCTTGGAATACCTAGTACATGAACCAGACCAACGCAAATGGGAGAAAAACTAAAACTATAATGTGACACAGAGGGGTGGCCATGTGGCACAGTGGTTAAGTTGCTGCTTGGGATGCCTTACATCCCATGTTGGAGTACCTAGTTTGTATCTGGGCTCCTCCACTTCTAACCCAACTTCCTGATACTCATGAAGAGAGACTTAGGTATTTAAGATGATGACTTAAGTACCTGGGTCTCCGCTACCCATGTGGGAGACCTAAATTGTGTTCCAGACTCCTACTTTGGGCCTGGCTATTGTGGGAATTTGGGGAATAAACCAGCAGACAGAATATCCTCCCTCCCTGTCTCTGCTCTTCAAATGAAAAAAAAAAAATTTAAAAAATAAAGTAATATGCAGCATGAAGAACACATGTATTTTTTCTGACAGGATTACTGATGCCTTGACCTTGCACCATTATGTTAAGTGCAGACTATTGTTTTTCAGGGAATATGAGCCATTCCTCAGCAGTTTGCTCACAAACAGAAAAACTAATCAGTTACCCCTGTATAAGCAATGACATTTTCCCAGTGGTCATTCCCTTTCCCATTCAATTTTTCCCATTAAATAACACAATAGATCTCAGTTCAGCTTAGAGCTGAAAGCCAACGGGATATGTCTGCTCCAGATTTGGAACTCACAGGGTAGAGGCAATCTGGCAGTAATTAAGTAGATGGCTTTTCATATCTCTTTCAAAGGTTACCAGCATTAAAAATATGGCTGCACATAAATTTTACTGAGAAATCATGATTAACTGGACCTGGTTAGCTCAAATCAGCTAAGTTATCCCTTCACAATTTAATGATTTTCCCCAAATTAGTATGAGCTTAATGGCTTCTATTAAGTTTTTAAAAGCTCACATAATAGGAAATATACAGTTACAATAGAAAAAACTACTATAAGGAGTTACAGTTCATAATCCTTTATAATCCATTTAACAGGAGTATTCATACACCTCAGCATCAAGCCAGCAGAAAGCTGACATAGTAGTTTAATTCCTCTTTATTTTTAAAAATCCTGCTAGTTCATGTCCCAAATGCTTGCATTGGCTGTGACAATGGTGGGGGCCAGGACCTGGCAGAAGTTGGGAGCAGGGAACTCAGTTCAGGTCTCCCCGGTGCTGTGGCAGGAACCCATAGACTTGATCCATTACTACTGCCTTCCAGGGTCTGCATTGGCAGAAAG